ACTCTAGAAAACGTTAATATCAGTTTTGATTTATAATAAAACAAAGAGTAAAGATTTATAACTAAACAATATTTTGTTGCTATAAATGTTACAAATTTAGTATGTTTCATATATTAGTAGTCGAAATACGACCATAATAAAAATACAAAAAGATCTTTGAATCTGCAATAATGAATATATGTATTTTACAATATGCTGTGTGTGTCAAATACGTGATAGTGTGTGTAATATTTTTTTTTAATTGATTTAATCTAATTTTTTCGTAATTAAAAAAAAATATTAGCATTGTGCACTCCTTCTCAGTATAAACTATAAGTGTGCAAAATTTCATACTTCTGCGTCCATGAAATTTTCGTAAACAAAGGTAAAAATTTTTGCTTCACGTATTAATATATAGATAGATGAGATAGATAATTATGTATGCTAAATCATAACACCACACAAACGCTTCATTTTGCTTTAATTCCTTAAAAATGGCATGATTCGTTTATCTCATAAAACACCTAAGAGGTAGACAGTAAGCACACTTAGATGCACAATTTATTCATAGAAACACCAAAAACCCATCTCGTTTATTATTCTAATGCTGTTAACCGCAGGTGGCCTTTGCAACTTCACTGGACCTGTGTAGAAAGTATTACAAATTTGCAAAAGGAGTTATGAGACATCTGAACGTCAACTCCTGCCTGATAATCCTTCAATTTAAAGGCACTCTAGCAGTTTGAAGAATCTCAGGCCTATATACAGTAGATACGATATTTTTTAGAATGAGACTGGAAATCGGGCGAAGGAAACATTTTTAGGCGTTGCACTGATTTCTTCGTTTCAGTGAAGCCGTTTTAATAATTGGATCGAATTTATCCTCACACCCTGCAACTTAAGTGGTCACGTACAGTGGGGTTTCAGAGAAATATCCTCACGCGAATATTCAGTCTGTGGAATAAATTACCTACCGAGTATTTCCCTAAAGACTACATCATGCGCATTTTTAAAAAGAGTGTATTAAACAAATCGAACAGAATTATTTTTGATTTGATTAACAAAATATTAAATACAAGCTACGCACCCCGGCTTCGCACGCGTGAACACGTATTATATGTATAAAACTTCCTCTTGAATCGCTCTATCTATTAAAAAAAACGCAGCAAAATCCGTTGCGTAGGTTTAAAGATTTAAGCATACATAGGGACGAACAGACAGCGACAGCGACTTTGTTTTATACTATGTAATTATTGCTAACTATGTAAATAGGGAATTTACATGCCTCCCAATAAAAGTTAAAATTGTGAAAATAAGTCCATACATTGCAGTCATTCAAGTATTTATTTTATAATAAGCTTTGGCGCAGTGTGTACATGTCTTAAATTTACCATCATTTAAATTTAAAACATTATTTGACAATATTATTAAAACGTACCTATACAATGCCCCACGAAAGATGTACTTACTTTTTTGAGACGTACTTGTCTTATGTACTTACTTGTGTAGTTATCTATATAATACAAGTTCTGCTTAGCTTGGGATTAGATGGCCCTGGGTGAATTGTCCATGGTTATTATTACTATGGTCTAGCGCTTTAGCACATCGCTTTACCTCCGATGGTCGCGGGTTCGATTCCTATCACGGTGCAAACATTTGTATTCATGAATATGATTGTTTGAATCCTTCTGGGTAAGTATAATATGTATTTATTTATAAAAAAAGTATCTTAAGTATTATCTGTTATCTAGTACTCAGAACAAGTTCTGCTTACCTTGGGACTAGATGGCGCTGTAACCCTGGACAATTCACTGTCCAGGGTTACTATTATTATTGTTCACATATATCTAGTTATACAAATATAATATATTCGTGAGTCAATTTAATAATTTTAGTATTGTCGTTGTTAGTTATGTCACTGTTTACATACAAATTGTGTTTACAATGCTAAGTTTCATATTTGCTTACGTTTGGCCTCAATTTCATGGTTTTGACACCTTGTTGCTGTAATATAATGAATAAAGTGAAGTAATCTATACAAATAAATAAAATAGAAGTGTTTGTAATTAAATTAACAGCTTTTCAATGCATGTAAAAGTATATACGGTACTTGCATCAAATATAATTTTAAAAAATTGTCTGTTTGTTCTTGCTAATCTCTGAAATGGTTTAACACCCATTTTAACGGGACTTTCACTCGTAGATAGCTAATGTTATAATGAGTAATGTGGTCCAATGTTATTTTAGTGATTTTAATAAAAAATGTGTTTAACAGACGAAATCGTGGGTAATAGCTAGTATTGATCATTTGTAAATAGACAAATAAGTTATAGTAATCTTTTTTATTTTTCCTTTTTTAACCATGATGGTTTTTAGGAGGAACCTCGTGGAGGTCGACCCGACTTCCATATGGTCTCACTAGGAATATGGCCCCCAGTCCCCCAACAATCCACTTTTACTCTAATCCTCTTCTCTCTACAAGTCAGTCAATATATACTAGATTTAAAAAATTCCATTAAATAAATTAAATGGTTGTAAAAAGAAATATTAAGTTAATGTATTGAACTTTAAATAGATTTTTTGTTTGTGAGCAATATTGGTCTCAATATCTCTGAAGTAGACACGGCCGCAGTTTGGCCAAAACACCGTTGTTTTTCTGATTTCATCCATCTTGAACTGCAGATGTGGCTGAATAGTTCAATTTGAATCAAATGTTAATATGTTTTGCAGATTACGTTTTTTTATACTATGACTATGACAAACAAGTATACGGCCCATCTGATGGTAAACGGTTATCGTAGCCTATGGATCCCCATGATTTCAATTTAAAACACCAATGATTTCACATGTGTATTGCCGACCCTTAAGAATCTTTAACATACTCTTCTCGAAAAGCCATTTTATAATTTAAGGCTAAAAGGAAGAAGTTCCTTTGAAACAGCATTGTTCGAGATCTTTTGGTTCCAGCGTGTGGGGATGTGTTCTAAATCCTAAGAATTTTATAAACGCCATGGATGTATGAATGGATATTTGTTGATAGGTGATGACGAATGGTTATAAGCACGAACATACGCAGAAGCAGGGACATCAAACACAAACTCTAACATTATTGTTTTTGGATTTTGTAAAGTTGATAAAGTTTGTTTATAATAGTTTTTCTTTCATATGTATGCTCAGATACGTTTTCATTCCGTTTTCATTGTACATACTTTATGCATGTAAATTATTATATTATATAGGAGACTCTCTACCCGAATTCACGAAGAAATGTGCGCTGTGGGACATATATAGTATGTAAAAGTTATAAACGCGTGATGAAAGTACGTGAGATATTGAGGACGGAAGGTTGACAACACTGGATTATTAGATAAGTTTTCCTTCCTTCACGTTATTTGCTCCTTCCCACCACTGGAATACAGGCGGTATTAATGAGAAAGTGGAGTGCCACAAGTTCTTGACATGTTTCTGTATATCGAATTGTTATCACCTCCGGGTTTAGGAGCGTAGTGTGGTACAAGATGGCGGCCTGTGATCAGTGACTCGGACAAAATAGGCATTGTACAAGCACCCCTCGAACGGAATGGACGAGTCACGTTATAATTGGGCTGCCAAAAATGTGGTCGAGCGCAGAGATAGTTTACTCATCCTTTCTACCCGTGAACGTGTGCTGCTTGTAGGAACGTTTACACTCGTATCATAAGGAGATAAAAGCCATCGCTCCTAAGAATATCCTTCAATTTTTGTCCCTGACGGGTGTAGTATAGCGAGCTCTAAAAAAAGGGCGAGTACAATAGATCTTAGTTCGCAGTGCTACAGGTCTAAGTACATGACAATAGTCCATACCCCACAATAAAAAAATACTCCCTTTATCAAGGAAGGATGTAGGCTATATAACATCGCACTACTGAAAAATGTAGCAAACAGTAGAAATTTGAAGCAGACGAAGTTACGCGGCTAAGCTAGTCTAAAACATGATCAGCCTACTAAATTTAATTAGAATTGATTTAGTAATTTTTGCGTAGTAGTAGATGAATAACAACATCTATTTCTGCTCACTAAATTTCACGTTTATAATATTAATAGGATTTCTCTAATAGCAAAGGTAATTCTAAGAACTCTGTAACTTATTAATTTAGGCGAGGCCTTCAGCACGAGTGAGTACAATATTAATCACCTATTGAATACGACTTAATCAAAAAGTATTCGAAACTTAACTAGATTGCTATTCTCCGCTAACATTATGAAATAATTCAAGTGAAAGAACATTGATTTGTTGTACAATCTTATTTACATTCAGTGAATTAAATTTTGGTTTAGCAAATTTAATTTGCGTGAATTGTTGATGTGAAATAAATGTACAAAATTCTCTCTATAATTCTCTCTAATCTTTATATAGTATAAAATGAAATCGCTTCCGCTGTAGGTTCGCTTAGATTTTATTAATTTATTTATTTATTTATTCATGAACAATGTACATTGTATTTGAATGTTGATACGATGGTTGATAAAATTAATAAATTTACATGTTGTCATTTTACAGAATGTCATTAATAACAAAAAAAAAAAAACATCAAAAATCAACTGAGTACAGGCATTTATCTATTAGTAGTGACTTCAATTTTTTTGTAAAGCAACTCAAACTATTCAATAATTTAAGATCCTTCGGTAACTTAGATCTTTTAATCTACGCAAGGGATTAAAAGCAGTTTTTAGCAATAGCTACATTAGATAGATTATTTTAACATAGATAGGTAGATATTCAAGAGGAGGGTTACTATGTATAATACATATACACCCATGCAAAGCCGGTTACCTCTTAGTAGCAGTTTTATATAAAAGGAATCATGAGAATTTCGTCTACCTACCTTCTACCTTCCTAAATTACTTTAATTTATAGCTTAAAGTAATTTTGGGAAAAATAATTCCAAATGACCCAATTTTACCCAGGAATTTAAAAAAGTGTGTTAATAATCATAGAGAAAAACAACTGTTCCTTTTTTTAATGTGATTTTTTTTTGCAGGTCTACGTGGCTCTCTTCAAGCCTCTAAGGGTGTCAAGAAGACAGTTTCGTCGCGTGCTCATGTGTATGAGGAATGTGCGACACCTCAAGTGCCATGAACTTTACGCGCATGAGAAGGTCACCAAAGTTGACAGTCTCTCGCTAGTGCTGTCCGGCAAGTGAGTTTGTTACGTTTTTGTCTACTACAGTAATATAAAGATTTATCCGCTCGAGGGCATTATCTCCTTTTACCGTTTAATCTTTAGGCGATTTATGCTTATTTTAGGGAATCTTTGATAAAAGGATACTAAATTGAATAGAGGTTAAGAGTAATGAGGAGCATTTCCCGTTTCCCAATCCGTTTGGGGTGTATTTTTCTAGACTTCTTTAGACTACATGTTTAGTATTCTAATATATACTAAGATATTCTACGAAGATTACTTCTTAATTCCTCCAGTTGGTTTACATGAAACATTACAACATAAACAGACACCGACAGTTTTTGCCTTTTTATGTAAAGATGTTGATATTAAACTGAGCCACAGCGAAACATTGCCTGGTGTAACTTCTTGTAATTATGGAATCATCTCATATCTGTTTTCATTATCGTATTTTCAATTTTAGCCTTTATTATTGTTAATTCTATTACAGTTCTGTTTTAATATAGATATTCATTGGCCAGATGTGCTAAGTTATATTTGTTTCTTATATTTCATTGAATGCTTTATAAATTATTTTAACTTAATTGAATTCCTACAATTTAGATTTATCGTTATATTTATATCTGGATCATTTGCATTTGTATTGTCTTTAATTGCGATTGTTTTCTAATTAAACGTTCTTGAATTACAAAACTACCTAATGGCTCCAATTAACCACTTTAGAGCATTTCTTAAAATGAAACGCAGTAATTTTTCTTTGTGAACAAGAATTTTGAAAGGATATCTGTTCAATATTATGTTACTAATAAAGTTATCCAAATGCTTAACAATCGTAGTATTGTTATGAAATTAAATAAATGAATTTAACTAGTCTTCTCACGTGTTAATTGGTTGAATTCCGACAGAATTTCAAATGAAAATTCCAATTTCTAATCGTTTGCCAAATCGTCTCGAGGGTAGCCCTGTTAGCATTAATTGTAATTCCAAGAACCGCATCTGGTTGTAAAATGATACGTTTTCGTTGGGGATGACATCATGCAGTGTAGTTTTGTGTAATGGCGATAATTCGCAGACTCATGTGATAAGCAAATGAATTGGTCGTATATACTCGTGTACATCCGCTTGTGTACAGCTGACATGTTGATTTACATAAAGAGTAATATATTACTCTTTATGGCCTATGTATAATGTATTTTTTGGTAAACTTTATGACCGTTTAGAAAAGTCTTATAAAAGCTACATTATTGGCAAGTAATGTGACATGTGTTATTTTACTAAGTATCGTTTAGAAATTATTTTTTTATGATATGGGTATGTCCTACATGAATAATGATTTTTTAATTTGATTTTAAAAAGAAATAAAATTACATACAATAATTGAATTTGTGCGAAGTAGGGACGTATCGTTAGTTTTAAATAAATTTGAAATTGCCTTGCCTAGCGACGTGCATTATTCTGTATTTGGCCAATTAGTAGATGACAATTATCCGAAGATTGAGCAACTCGGTCGAGGTTATTCTTGTTTAAACGTATATTGATCCAATTTGTCTTGAACAAACTCTTCATTGTACTAATTGGCAGCGTTTTAAGATAGAAATTAATTAATGTCGTCTAAAGGAAGCCAATTTATAACCATTGTGTGACTTTTTCGCCGATCCAAAACATATTTAATTAATAGAGAATGCCCATAACACTAAGCCTCGGTGCTGTAGCGGTTTGGCACACCGCTTTACTTCCGATGGTCGCGGTTTTGATTCCTCGCGCGGTCCAAACGTTTTGTATGTATTCATGAATATAATTCTTTGTATAGGTGTGGGGTGTTTTCTATGTATATTACGTATGTATATACAAAAATAAATGTTTTTGAGTATTTATAGCAGTTGTTTCGCCCTTAACACAAGTTCTACTTAGCATGAGAGTAGATGGCGTCGTGCGATTGTCCAGGACTAATAATATATTATAAAGAGAGAGGGACCGTATTTTTTTACGAGGAAAGTAAATCCCCGATTTTATTAATCGGATAAGTCTTATATTAAGTTTAGCCGTGACATACCGAAAATCAAATCTTACTACTATAATTGAACTTTTACATTATAACTACTTTGATATATTATAAATAACCTGGTTGCTTTGTCACGAAGTAAACAATAACTTAGGAAATAGGTCGAGCGTCGTGTTTAATTTTAGGCAGAATTCGAAGCAAAAAATCTATACTGTCATTATATTTACCACGTCCTCGTTAAGCTGGCGACCAGATAGTGAGGTTTCGCTGTAACCGACATTACAAAAGACGTATACACACTTTGTTTTCTTTTTATGTACGTTCCTGCAAGATTTTGTTAAAGTAAATTCAAGTATGGAATCTGAGCACTAGTATTAATTTTCGCTTCCATTATTTGTATCTACTTCTGGTTCCAATAATTTTCCTTTACGGCATTTTTTTGTCTATCTGGTACTGCAGTAAGTTCTATTCTAGAACGTATATCTAAAACTGCGTTAGCAGGCTCTTACCAGATTTGACTGAGCAGGGAGAGAAACATGAGCGGTGAAGATAAGTTTTGACGGACATACGTCGCTAAGAGACCCCTTAAGCCTACACCTAGTACACAAGTCCTGGGAATTGCTCGGTATGTCCAATCCATGGAATGGTAAAAATTCTAATAGTTTTGGAGGTCATAACTTGTGGTAGTAACCCACAACCAAACATGTTGGGGACTCGGGGTGAGCCCCTTTGCCCCGGCAAAAACTCAGACGGCAACAATTGAATTTAAGGCATAAGCATTTAAAGTTGCATAGATTAAAAAATCGAAATAATAATATATTTTCACGACTGTTATCCCAGATGGGACAGTCAGAGGGATTGTCAACTTTTGACCTCGTATTGAACGGAACTGTTGACATGTACCTACGCATTTCGCTAGGAATATTTAAATCCAAAGTGGCAAGGGGCCAGACTACATCTGTTTCTCGGATTAATTTAGTTTGTAACAAGCCTTCTAAGCCATCTGGTTAAAACGGACTGGAAATATGAAATAGACGGCCTAAAAAAGGTCATTAGTAACACAAACCCGGCGAAGTGACCTAAATAAAGGTCATCAATTTCGCGAATCAATAGGTTATAGGCTAATTTGTTTGGTAAATTTTTCTTCAAAACCTATATTTTGGAGGGATTATAGATAATATTTGAGAGACGTACCAGATAGTTGTCTGGCACTGTCAATACGTCAGCGAGTGAAGTTGTAAGACTATAAATCTAAACAGGTTTACCATTCTCGGTGCGAAATTTAGAAATTGCTATATTAAGATGTAAGAAAGTGCAAATAGAGTACAAAATAAAATGAAAACTATGCCCGGTGAATCACGATCATTGCGCAATCAGAAGCTACCGGTTTACAAAAGGCCCCAATCCTGCCAGTATTTAATGCTGATTTTGTAATCATTACGCTTATTAATTCGGTAATGTTGGATTACGTGGTTCAAAAGTCAGATCTCTTTAGTTTTCTAGATGCTGCTTGTGGGGCAAGTTCTGGCTGTTGATTGAATAATTTTGTAACATCGTTTGAATTATTTTAGGATAAAATAATGCAAACTAAATGATAGCATGTGTCCGTCCTCGGGATGGCATCTATCTTCTCGTCAAATTTTATTAGGATCTGTTCAGCCGTTTAATCGCGAATAGGGACCATAGTGCTAGACAGAAACACTTTCGAATTTATAATATTAGTATGAATGCTTTATGTTATTGAATTAGTATGAGTCATTGTATTAACTAAACATTTAATAGAAGGAATATCAAAGTGCCTTGTCAGTTCTTCTTGTCTTAATCATGATTATATTCCGAACTCTATTGTAGACTTGATTATCATAAGTGTTTGTAATAGATTAATATATGATTACATAGATGATTATATTTCCTTTGATTCTCGAAATTAATTATTCACAGTCCTATTATTATATTTATAAAACTGATACTAGCTAATAGAGTAGTCAGGGGTATTATAAACTATCAAAGTTGTGGTGAACGTAAAAGTTGATGCACTATTTTTGTGTCAAACCAGATACGGATTGTTTTGAAGTTAATGAATCGATGTATAAAACCACAAAACTGCGACCCTCTTAAATTGTCATCAAGATGGTCATACAAAAATTTTGAAATTTCATTAAAACATTTCCTTCTAGACCCAGTTAACGATGCGCGTTGATTCAGCAGTCATTGATGTCTTTATAAGAGTTGATAAATGATAGTCCATTTGAAAGCTTTTCAAAGACTTGTTTCTGACGATGCGGTTAGCCACTAACTCCATCTATTTAGGCTAAATTTAGCAATTAAGGTTTATGTTTAAGACGAAGTAACGACCCAAAACTGCTTTATTTATGCCTATATGTTATTCTGATGTATAAGCTATATTACTGTAAAGTTTCATAATAATCCGTTCAAATAATTTTTGCGTGAAAGAGAAATATTCATCCATTCATTCTCATGAACTTTCGCATTTATAATATTAGTCAGATTAGGAAAATAATAAATTGAGAGTTCATTTCGAGTATCATAATTATCATCTGCCCCAATTATGTAATTCGAATAGCAATCAAGCTGAAGGTACATAACGGTAGATGATACTTGAACTTGTATACTTGAACAGCACAACGGACATCACGTTATCATGTGATACTGTGAGCTGTGAGCCTGTCATACCCAGGTTGTCGTTCCAGAGGGCTATGATATGATGCTATAGTATTGTCGCCTTGCTTAGCGGCTGATATAGATGAGACTGAGGTGTGGGAATCTCAGATATTTTTGCAATAGAGCTCTAGTCTAGTTACGCTGGTATACTTATTACAACTTATCCTATATAAGCGACGATTTCCTCTGCTGCGCAACCTAGTAGGTAATCCCGCAGTTGTAGATCGTATAGGATTTAATATTCCACCGAATTACGTGAGAAGTGTTACACATCGGCGTGTCCGACTATTTGCAACTGCGGCAGCACGCACAAGCCACGCTAATCATTGTCCCA